TTGCATGACAACAGTTGTCCGAAAAGTTTCAGAAGTAAGATAAGAGAGAGGCACAGTATTTAATGCACCACCAGCTGTGGTAAGTTGTAACATAACGAATCAAGATATTTACATAAATTATGCGTAAAAGTGTGGAATCAAGGCTGTGTGGAAATATTTCTGGCTGGGGGGTAGTGCTTATGGAATTTATTTCATTTGGTGTGAGTAGGTACCTATCTACCCAGGTAGTAAGCGCTCGGTTATATCAGGGGGAATCGAGGGTTTTACATACCTAATAGTTAGTACGTGTGTGTGTGTATTATGTGTATTATGTGTGATGATGTTTCATGTCACCTATGTTATGATAGATAGGGCTGCAAGGCTGATTTCTAGGGCTATTCTATAACCTCACCTACCTAGGTACATACATAGTAGTATACTTGCTACCTACCTAGATCCGCAATGGCACTATTATCTTATGTATCTTGGTTGATCACCCAGCGACCCTGATGATCAAATGAAATAAAATGATCCTTCATCTTCAAACGATATAATCGTGTACCTGCACCAATCATGAGGCCTTCAACCTGAGGAATTTTGATCAATATCCCAGCAGGTTCTTCATTACAGACGCTCTTCATTACAGACGCTCTTCATTACAGACTTTCTTCTGCCTGTTTCAATATCTCGCTCTCAACTTCATGAATGTTTCGGTTCACATGGCTAAGATATCGATAACAATAATCATCAGTAGTTAGACCAATTATTCAAGAACTTCAGATTATCAAACATGATTTTCGTCGTGTCACCTTCAAATTCCCAGGTGTATGAGGGGCCATTATTGAGCAATATTCATCGATTCTTTCTCTGCCATTTGGACTTTTCAATTACCCATTTAGTGATATATGTAGGTAAACCTTTGACATCATTCCAGATGAGATTCATTCATATCCTTTTCAACACTAGGCATTCCTTCAGCTTTCAGTCTCGACTCTTGTCCAACCCCTCTACTATATTGTACAACATTTCCAGATATCATCTGACCAAATTCAGAAGACGTTCATGGGTATTATCTTCATTGATCATGTTTTGATTGTTCGGTCTCGGTAAAGTCGTTTTGTACTCCTGACGCCATGAAATTGTCGGTTGTGGGAAATGAGCTTGCTAGATTGCATAGTTCCTCTATTCGTACCGAATCACCACTCAATACCATAAACTAATAAGTTCCTCACTAACAGCACTTGGAGTCAAAGCCCCCGATTCGGTGATAAGTGCGGATATCAGGGCTGGAGGCTGCAAAATATTTAGCATCATATCAAATCCAGAGAGAAAACACTTACTGTAAAGTCCACCGCATCAACAGCATCTGGTTTCGATATATTAATCTTGCCTGCCTCAAAATATTCCGATTTCTCCTCAATTTTCGGAGTTTTATCCCCTTCATCATCCTCGGTACGGAAATCGATAATCTCTTGATCAATACCAAGATCATATTGTCCCAAAGGATATAATCGCACGAACTTGTGACTTTCCGCAGCGACATAAAATGGCTTTCCGGCTGCTTTCGCTAATAGCGCGATTTGATATGTTCCCAATCTCGAAATGACTCCTCCATTTTCTACCACACCTTCTGCACCGACAATAACTAAATCGACTTTGCCCATAGCATATCCAACAGCACCCTCTGATATCGTAGCAACGGGTACACCTTTAGCCCTTAATGATGTAACCACGGCTTTACTCTCTGCGCTCCTAGCATCGTCCATAACATAAATGACGTTAAATCTGACATTTCCACCAGTAGCTCTCGATTCCGCAGCTTTATCTAGTAGAGCTCCCACAACTCTACTTCCTCCATGAGTCAAAACCACACTTCCATCTCTAACAAAGTTTCGTCCATAGGTAGCAATACTATATCTAGCCTGCTTTGCTCTGGTAACAAACAATCTTCCATTACTCAAAAGATGCTGTCGCACGGTCTCGAAGTTTCCGGTACTTGAAGGTTTTAAAGATTGTATCATATATCTTTGAAATAAATCCGTTCCGGCAGATAACGATATGGAATTGGGGATGCGAGATTTCAAATAATCAGACTGGGTTTTAACTAAATCGAGAGTTTCGTAAACGGTGACTGCGCGAGAGCAGGCCAGAAGTTCAATGAGTGCTTCGATTGCAGCGACGGGCATAGTGACATCGGGATCATCGTTGAGAAGTCGATGGTAGGTTTCTACTATGCTGATAGAGGGGTTATGAGTCAGTGAGGGGTTCTTTTGAGAATTGTACACAGAGAGATGTACTCGAATTGTTTTGAATCCTTCTTTTGAGGAATATTTCCTATGGAAGCCATTTTCTTTAAAGCAGGAGGATATCCAGAAAGTGCCGGTGGAGTGGTACTACGAAAGCTTTCTTCGAAAAGAGGTGTTGCTAATGAGGAGGGGAAATTTTGTTAGCAAGAGCAAGGCTGTGACGCACCACAAAATGGATTTTCGACGGCGCAAGAGCTAGCTAGAGCAATGGTTGATCAAAATCGCATTGACAATTTATAGATTTGACATACCTGGTTCTGGATCCATTTTGGGTGTGTGTTTATCCTTTGAATTTCTTCAAGATCAAGATTTCAAGTCGGTTTGTAGAGATTCCTCCAAAAAAGACTCGTTATATGGAATATCAATAGAGTCATGAAATTGTTTGTAAAATGCAATTGATGACTCCAAGCATTATCGAAACAATGAATTCATAATTAGAGAGGGCAAGGATCATTTCAGCCAATCAGAGATCATTTCACGTGCAGCCTTACCATACAACGATAGGCTGTGGGGAAAGAAGGCCGAACACCTAGCATCTCCTCTAATGGAGAACGGAGTACTCGCACATACTACATACTACATACATAATACTATGTAGAACCTTCAACTCTTTCTTATCAATCATAAAGACAAACATCGGGAACCTCAAAGAAAGGGGTTTGTCTCAAGCTGATTTGTTTTTCTGATAATGATATAGAAAGGAAATCCCCAGCCCAGAAATAACTCAACTCCCCTCAAAATCATGGAAACTATCGACCCCTCCACAGGTAGACCTCTACCACCCGATGCACTCCAACGAGTCCTCTTCATCGCACCTTCAGTCCACGTCTATAACATTCCACCCCTTACCTCGAATAAAGGCTACGTAGCTGCTACCTGGACTGCGGACAACAACAAACGACAAATCTTCACCGCGCGAGTTCGTATTCTCGAAACAGCCATCCCGGATAAAAATGGCGAGGAGAAAGTCAAAGCAGATATCTTACTAGAAGATCCAAGCAACGGACAGCTATTCGCCGCAGCTCCATACACCGTAACGGGTGTGGTAGAGCAAGTACTGGATAGTTCACGATTTTTCGCAGTCAGAGTACAAGGAGAAGGAGGAATGAAAGCGGTTCTGGGAATAGGATTTGAAGAGAGATCGGAAGCATTTGATTTTAGTGTGGCATTACAAGAAGTGAGGAAGACATTGGGGATTGAGGAACAAGGAGGAGGAAAACCTCCATCTGCGGGAACGAAGAAAGGAGAGGAGAAGTCGGAGGTCAAGAGGGATTTTAGTTTGAAGGAGGGGGAGACGATTACGGTTAATATTGGAGGGAGAGGAGCGGGTAGGAGGGCACCTAAAAAGAGTGAAGAATCTGAGAAAGGGCTGGGTGGGTTTTCTTTACCTCCTCCACCGGGTGGAGGAGGCATGGGCGCATTTTTACCACCACCTCCAAGTGCACAGGCGATTAAGGCTCAGAAGAGATTAAGTCAGAATAATATGGAGGCACCTTCAATACCTGAACCATCTGCTGAGGAATTAGGGTTTGACGATGGAGAGTTTGGAGAGTTTCAATAGACTATTGATGGAAGATGATGGACAAGCTAGAAAGATGGATATGAAGATTCAAGCGAGATCCACAAGGACACGAGAGGGCAAGAAATAGGGAATCTGGCCAAGGAATATTGTCGCTCGCCAAACGAGAGCAATAGGAATCTTAAGGCCTGGTACTGACTGTCATCCGCAGGATGTGAACTGGAGTTGACAATCGGGTGTACAGGAGGACTTTCCATTGGACCCGAGCCTACAGTCTTCACGAAAGATTCCAAGAAAGCTCAAACAAACACATTCACACAGCAAGATATTTCATTACTCATAATAGGACAATATCCAAGGCGCCTAGAGAATGGAACGGAGTTCAAAGGATCTAGATCTACAACGAATCTGAAGTTACTGTCATTTAATTAGATATCAATGAATCAACACCTCAAGAATCATTATTGTCCATACAATCTACAGTAATGACCGAAAATTCATAGTACGTGTGTATACCTACTATCTCGATTCCTCCATATAACTTGCAAGTAATAAAATCTATAATTCAAACCCCGTCGTGTAAAATATCAATTCTATGTACAATCCACATAAAGTACTAATATCTATCTATGTATGTAATGTTACAAAGATTTCCGAAGCAAACAATTCACACATACTATCCAATCGTAATCCAAATCTTTCAAACAGAACTTTTCATCCTGATCCCCGTCTCATCATCATCATCACCCTATACAATTCAATTTCCTCTATCCCCATCCATCTATTCCTATACATCATCCTTTAGGGTCATTCATAACATCCATACATCATCATATACCCAGCTCCAAAAAAAGTCAACATCAACATCAACATCAAAATTTCTAAACACAACCCCTACCAAACCTGATCAATCTCATTCCTCTCCTTCAAAACTTCCTTCCCATACAACTTCCCCGCCTTCCCCCCACAAACCCCCTCCCACAGCTGCCTCTGCACACCCGGCAAACTTTTACTTTTCTTCTCCCTCGCCACCCCCTCTCTAGATCTCCCACACCACCCCTCTCTTTCCCACTCCATCCACCCGCTGCTCACCCACCCCATCAAAAACCCCCAACATCACATCATTACAACTCTTCGCGCCACCCATCGGCGACATCCTCGCGCTCTGCTGCGGAGTCGGCGTCGTAATCGCCGTTTCAGTCGAGGAATCTCCCGCCTCCCCCTCCCCATCCCCAGACCCAGACCCAGAACCCTCTCCCTCTCCCTCTTCTCCCCATTCCCCTCCCATTCCCCACCTCATCTCCACCCCGAATCTCCACGCTCCATTTCAGAGAAGATTTTCTTCTCTCCTCAGCCAAGGGCGATAATTCACATTCATCCCACCCCCTACTAAGTCTCGCCCCCTCTCCATTCTGCACATGCTGCGCTATACCAGAAGGAGCCGTAGACGTAGAGACAGAAATCGAAGTAGTAGAAGAAGGTTTGAAGAAATTAACCGGTGAAAAGACAGGCGCCTCCGTATTCCAAAAATCATTTGAATATTTTCTTCCCTCCACACTCGCCTTCGAATCTCCAGGACAGACACCACTAACACTGACGCTATCCCCGGGTTGAAATGCAGGAGTGCTAGCATTCAACATTCCCCCATTTCCATTTCCATCAACATGTCCATGTCCATATCCATATCCATATCCATATCCACCCCCAGTATATCCATAGCCAGCCTGACCAACAGCACCACCCGCCCCAACAAACCAATTCCAATACCCCCGCTGCCACTCCATCATCTCCTCATTAATCCTTCTCTGCCGCTCAATTTGCATCCATCTCCATCTCCTCTCCTCCTCCTCCCCAATTTGCTGCAACCTCTCCATCAAAATCCTCTCCTGTCTCGTACACTCCTTAATCCGACATTTCAGCCACGAGATTTGTTTTTTCAGTTTGCGACGAGTGGGCGCCTGCAAGTGCGGTGTCGCGATTGTAGAAATAGAGGAGAGAGGGGATGTGATACCTATCCCCACGCCCTCCAATTCCGCAGTTAGGTGTATGGAATCGAGATTAGTTTCTGCCGCTGCGATTTTCTGTCGTAGGGAAAGGGCTTTGAAGTTTTCTCGAGAAAGGGAAAGGAGAAGATAATGGTGTTCTGGGTTGAAGAGTTGGGTTTGATATGGTTGTGGTTGAGGAATTGTAAAGGGATGATGTTGGGTTAAAGGGAGAGCGGATAGTGGATTGATTTGGTTATGGTGTACTAAAGGGGGGGCTGATATTGGATATGCAGAGTTGAGATTTTGAGAATTCTGAGAATGCTGAGGGGGATAAGGTTGTTGAGAGGGCGGCGCGATATCTGTTACTAGACTTAGAGATCTACCAATAGATTTACTACGGCATGGTAATGTGGTTTCATAATTTTCTTCCATTGCATATAACGAGTTTGCTAATAGAAATTTGCTGGCTTTCTGATACGCTCGGAAATGATATTTCTCGTTACAAGAAGTGAGCGACAGTATATAAATTCAATTTTCAAGGAAGTCAAATGAATGATGCTGCTGAGGGAGGATACACTGACGCTCTCTGAAAAGTTGGTACAACAAGTATATAGCAATCTCCAATAAAGGAAAATCACTAGTGATTCCGCCCAGAATCGTAGCGAATTGACTTACCGAAAGAATATAAAAAGTCTCAGGCTATCTAACATACTCACTAATAGAGGGGCAACAAGAAAGTAGGACTAACAGGCTTTCACGAGAACTTGTGGTGGGCCGGCGTTGTCTCGAGATTAAAATTAGATTTCTCCGCGACAAGTTGAACAAAGAAGCAGGATTACCACGAGGTCGCTACCAATTAAGTCGAAGATGTAACATCGTTTCTTTGTTAAAGAGACCCACCCCTCGTTATAGGTCGGACCATCCTTCTTTCAAGAGGGCTAAAAGATTCGATCAGAATGAAAGGGTTAAGGAATAAACCGAAATTGGTGCCTGAGTAGCTTCACAATCGTGCGGAGTGTTCTTTATGCTTGGCATTCAGGACAAGCCTTCGTATGAGTAAAGGTCAATAACAATCAAGGTGTGTACTTGAAAGGCAAGGCTGATCTCCGTAAAGATCAAATAGTCTTCTAGATTGATTTGTCCCACTTGAAGTCGTGGAAATCGGTTTGTACATAGCTGGATACTTCCATCACGGAAATACCATAAAAGAGACTCTTAGTCATACTCAAGTAGAGTACTTATCTTCGACAGCAACTACACTATCAATTTTTGTGGCTGGTTTGATATTTGTGTCCTCCAAGGCGGAAGTTGCCTTTGGTACCAAGGGTGCTGGCGGTTCCAGTGGCTGCTCCAGAGACTGCAGTGGCTCATTTCCCGAACAAAATAAATCCCCTGCAAGCATGTAAATTCTTTCTTTCTCTGCCACTCCATCGGCACATCCTCCAATTTCGTGTCTAAAAATCCGACTATAATCCTTGGCTTTTAATTGTAGATCTTCGTTGTTAATATTTTCACCATCCCAACCAATCAATTGCATTTCAGCTATTTCGACAGGTAAATCCGACAAAAGAGTTTGCAAAGACGCTGAAATCAATGGCTCCTCTTTGTGTTTTAATGATAAATGCTCCGTTGGACTCGCTGTAAAATCTGTTGCTTCATCTGGCTCGTTCGTGTATTCTTCTGGAGCTGTGTATAGTTCTGTATGAATAGTAGACAAAGCATCCCAGCTTTCAAAATGAGGATACAGAGTCCAATAGCCACGTGCCCTTGCTAATCTAAGAACATATTCCAGCCATGACGGGTAGGTTTTGCTGACGTATTTATCTCCTAAAGTGGCTGGTGGGGGTAAGGAATGTTCGGAAAACATCGATCTAGCTATGAAATCATGAAGTTCCACCCACTTATCTCCAAAATAAAGAGCAGCATTGCTGTTTGGAGCTTGCCATAGAAATGGACTAGGGTTTGTACTTGACGGTGGTGTAAATGACGTTGAATCATTGAGATAAGTTGATGGTAGATCAAGACTTATCCCAAGCATATTCTTTTGACCAATTGCTCTATTGTAAGAGTATCTATACTCTAATAGTGCAAATTTGAGGTAATGAAAGAACAGTGGAGAAAGTTCGACTTGAGGAGAAAGAACAAGAACATGGGCGGACATAGGATCCGCAGGCCAAAACGATTCCATGAATTTGATTGAATTTTCCTCGGGAGTGAGTCCATGTTGTGGGATTCGATGGTGAAGTGTCAGGAGACTAGTCTCATCTTGACTACGCTTTGGTGGCCACTTGAATTTTGAAACATATTGTTTAGTAGGTTCATCGACATCATGCGGTAATTCTATTGTTAATCGCGGTATGTTGCTGGAAAAATAATCGGCTTTCTTAAGAGATGTAAGTAACCTGATCAAAGATCCAGATTTTTGTGGTTGCGCGTGAACAACTATATCAATACTAATTTTGGTCCAGGCTATAATTATTAGCTAAACGAAAACAGTTTTCTTCTTCAGAGATGTACTCACCACTCAATGCGGCACCATCTAATTGAACAATCCACATTAGATTTTGTTCGATGTTTTTAGGAAGTTCAATCAAGGTTCTGTCTAATGCATTGGCCCTGGTCCTAAAGGCGGAGATTAAGAAATCATCCTCTTCCCCAGATGCGTCAATAAGAACAGCTTGAGGATGAACGAATGCATTGATATGATTCAAACCTGCAGAACAACTGACTTCCATCCGGAAATCTGAGCTTTGCAGAGAATAATCTGGTCGTGCGTCTAATCATGTTAGAACATTAAGCAAACCTTCAGGGAGGAGTTCATACCATGAAAGAAGATCTGGCAATCCTTATTGACCCCATTCACAGATTTCAATATATCCATCGGTATGTCATCTCTTCCCATAAATGCAAAGTGTACATAGTTTCTTTCCCTTAATGCCATCTCGCATGCAATGGGTAACAAAGTCGAAGCGCTTTTTAAACTCGAGGCTGCAAATAACTAAACACCTTATTAGCTGTGAAATATCATACTAATTTGCCAAACTAAGAACATACCACATTATTATTGACAGGATCAGAGCCTTTGACCTTATACATTGCATTCAAAGTCGTCGCCAATTGATAGAATTTAATGGGCCCATTGAAGTTGTGCCCTATCTCAGTCGATTCATCGTCATCTAATTTCGAAGCTTGATTCGAATTGAGCTGCGGAGATGGAGCTCTCGAGCCAGCTTGCGCGGGAATTCCTCCATTCTGAGTATAATGTGGTCTTTGTCGCGGATTCTGAAGATCTGTCGGCATATTCTTATAGAAGTAATAGAGACCAATTCCGACCAGCAGACCTATTACAATCTTCTTCATTGATCGACGTTGAACATGTGGCCTTCGATGTTGCCATGCCATTCCCAATGGCGTTTTCGAGCCAGGCCTATGATCATCATCTCGTTTTCCCAATTCCACGTCACCATGGAAAAGCCTTGGTGGGAGAGGCATTGTAATGTGCGCTTCCCACACTTATTAAGAGAGAATAGCCATGCGAACAATTAGATTAGATTGTGGAGGTGTAAAGGTATAGGTAAGGAAGGCAAGAACTTCAGTTGAATCTCCACATAAGGATATACAGAAGATTATAGAATTGCGATTCAACGGTACAAAAGATCAATGGAAGAAGTGTTCAAAGGAAGAAAACGATGGGTATGAATGAAGTTCGTATTGATTTGACATGATCTGAACTCTACGAAGATAGCTCGAGTTTAAGGTTATTATTACATACACATAGACAATGCACGGACGTTTCGAGGAGACTTGGCATTATTGATACTGACATTGCCGCAAACATCAAGGATTCAAAACCCATGGGCCATGCTCCATGCTCTCCCATCAATCCAAAGGACCCGAACCCCAATTATTTTCCTTTGCAGCGGGATCCCACTTGCCCTTCCCTCAAATTCGCCCCTCCATAAAACATACTTATACTTAGCCTCGCTTATGTCATCTCGGTTTTCCCAGACCCTTTCACATCGCTAAGAAGGAAAAGAAAAAAAGAAAAAGAGAGCAGCACACCTCCTCATACCTACTTGACACAAGTTGGAACCTCCAGCATAGCAGCTTCAAAATTGCAAAAATATATATTTAATGACCAGACTGGGGCACGATCCCAGGACCTTGTCCGTATTTAACAGGTTTGAATTGTTAAGGACACGTGATAACCAACTACACCATCCGGCCTACTTAATTGAATGCAGTAGCGTGTGTTTGAATATATATTACAGCTTCTGACCCGAGAACTTTTTGAATGTACCTCACCAACATGCATATTTGAATTGATCACCAATAGAAAGTAAAGTGTTCAATTTTCTGTTTTCCTCATTGTAAGAAGACTCGAGGAATGGTAATAAATACTCTATAAAGTCATTATATTTTATTGATTATTGTTTCTTTCATCTGCTATGCGACAGGCGTCATTTTTGGGTCAAGGAGAATCGAATTGAAAGAGCTAGTATCTTGCTGTCGAATCCGTCTACTGTGGGAATTTTCTAACGATCGATGTCATTCATTTGACTGTTGTACACTCTATCGATACTATTTCAATCAATCTTGTTGAATCTCATCAATGCCGTTGATCGACTTCAATCTCCGAAACAAGTGACGCCAGTACCGAGTCCAAACCCAAATGCCGCTCTGGGAAGAACGTATCTACTTCTACCGTAGATGATCCAACGACATCGTTGAAAGCGAGAAGGATGTCGATAGATAAAACAGCAAATAACTTCACTATAGTCTAGAATGTTTTCTGAAGACTTACTTTTATTTCGAGTTGACAGATGGGTTTGCTGAAGATAGCCTTTAATATAATAAAACCTTCGACAAAATCTGAGTTGATAGGAAGTCGTCAGTTTTTTTACTGTAAAATGCTTGCTTGACTTTCACAAGATCTATATATCATAGAAAGATCTCACTACAACCCAATAATCCTCTCCCACCCGCCAGCGAACAATTCAAAAAATCCCAATCAATAAAAATAATAATAAAGTATCTCATTAACCCAAGCATACAAGAAAATCACAGCCACAATAACAATACCAATAATAACAATAATTCCTCTAGTAAAATAGAAGATCAACTCATACACACATCCAACCTGGAGCCAACTTCACAGTACCTCGATATTTTCCTCAACCTCACCAAATCCATTACATAAGAAAGCGTGATGAAACTTTAATTTTTGTTGCACTTCTTAATTAATTGAGACGCACTAAAAGATTATCTGGCCCATCTGACAAATAGACTCTCGGACGCTATTGAACCACGGACACCCATCACAAGGAGCCTCAACCAACCTCAAACCCAACCTCAATGCACTTACTACTCCATCACTCCCGCAAATTATACATTGAGAACACTAATAATACAGCACCCAATGCACACAAATTCCGGTAGTATGAAAATACCAAGCTAAAGTTAAATATCATACATCACATTTTGCAATCAAACACATAGTAACTCAATGGACTGGAAGCATTATATTTATCTTTCGAGAAAAAAAAAACATTGCTTTAAAGAAACCATGCAAGTCGTGTCCGTAGTCCAACAACATTATAATCTCAAACGTTAACCTTCACTTTTATGATCCAACCATGCATCAGTAGTTGCCTGTCGTACCATTTGACAATGCCCCATTACTATGCCCATTAATTAGACCATTCGCCTTGCCATTTGTGTGAGGAGCATGACCATTGGTTCCATTGGCATGTCCATTAGTTCCATTGGTGTGTCCGTTGGTTCCGTTGGTATGACCGTTAGTTCCATTGGTGTGTCCATTGGTTCCATTTGCATGGCCATTTGTTCCATTCATCTGGCCAGCCTTTTTCGCTGCCATTTCAATGATTCTTTCTTCTTCCATCTTCGCGTTCTCGGTGTAACCGGTATCAGAGGCATCAACAAATGCCTCGAGCCCTTCTCCGTTTCTAGGATACTCCTTCATGAGCTCCTTGTGACGATGTAAAGCCTGGTTCATCTCCTCGGCAGAAACATCATTCAAGAAGGTGCACGACCCAAGAGGGTTTGGAACAGCGGCTCTGAGTTTGCCATCTCGTGTCTTGAGAATAGCAGCAGTAGCTTTTTCGAGGATCTCTTCATCGAACTGATGATGATCCATTGAAAGACCTGCACGAGAGAACAAGTTCAAGATGCGGCGATGCTCCTCATCACTCAAGAGCTTTCGTTGATTGGCAAGAGTTGCCGAGTAAGCCATATCAATGGATATCGCATGGCCGTGTCGGAGAGGTGTTTCCGGAACAAGCTCATGAAGAGGTGACCATCTAATGATGTTAGACTTAGAAACCTTCCGAAATATATAGCGATGGACTACTTACGTGTGCCCATAGGCAATTACACGATCCAGACCAATCTCATGAAGGTTTGGAGTTTCCAACTTCAACATTTCGTGGATACCCCCTCTGTTAATCGTGTCTGCGGCATCAATCAATTCCTTGGAAGAGCCATCAGCTCGACCGAAAGAATTCTCAATGAGCTGTTCACAGTATTTGTCTAATAGATCGAAAGTGGGTAGGTGAGAGCAGGATGAAATCTTGATCAATTCGGCAAAACCATTACGGATCTGCGCAGTTGGAAGTGTTCGTAAAAATGTGAAGTCAAGGAATGTATGAATGGGAGCGTGATAAGCGCCTAGTCTGTTCTTGTAGTTGCCATAGTTGACTGCAACTTTGATTGACACTGATGCGTCAATCAATCCAATGACGGTGGTTGGAACACGAATAAAGTTGGTGTTTCGTCTGTATGCTGCGCAAGCAAATCTACGAAAGAATAATTGTCAGACTTTATTCACATGACTTGAAGATTATTGTGATTATGCAACTCACCCGGCAACATCAGTGACAAGACCTCCTCCGACAACAAGAACTGGCTCCTAAAAGTATGTTAGAATGACACATGACAACTTATCAAACAATGGTCAGAGTACAAACTTTGCGATAGATTCCAAATTCGGTCATGGAATCCACAATACTCAAAAAGGTAGGAATGGTCTTTGCCTTCTCTCCGATCTTCGTTTTGTGGAATACCAGCTTGATGTTGTAGTGCTGAAAGTACTTCTCCATCTGCTTTCCGTAAACATTGTAAATGTTCATGTCAGTGACGGCTAAGCATCTTCCCCAATGCGTATAGCATTCGGCAAGATTTGGATTGTCGATATTGAAGACACCATCAATGAAAGTGAAGTCATATTCAATCTTCTCATAACCTTCAACGTGGAACCCGGCATGGCCGGACTTGGTTGTGGTCTCTGAAACGGTTGCTTTGAGGTCTGACATGTTGAAAAGAGTTGAATGAGGGTATGAGATGTATTGTTGAAAATCTGGTTGCAGTTTTTCCAGAAGATCTTGGGAGAGGGGTGTTCTTAAGCACCCCTCGACAGGGATAGGAAGAAGTCAACGTCACTAAGACTTTTCTATTAACACGACTGATATTGCACCATTATACACTATCATACACCAAGATCAAACTATGTCTCATTAGTGCACCGCAGATTATCAAACTCCTTTGAAGTAACATATCGATATTGATCAAATGCAAGCAGTTGAGTTACGGAGATTGTTCAGTCAAACATGCAAGGTGACAATAGCCAGTTCACAAACTCAATCTATGACATTATCACCCCACGCTAACCAGGAAGGGTTCAGCCATCGAACAACGTTCCAGACTACATTGAGGTCAATTCCGAAACCAGGAACAAGCAAATATAAAGAATCTGAATTGCCGGGCGAAATCGTAGCTCTACGCTAACTTACAACGAAAATGCAACAGGCAGGCGCGAAGAGAATGCAAAGGCCAAGGATGTGGCTCGCGGCCCGCGCCTGGCATGCTAATGCTCTAGCATGAGCGAATTCCATAACCCCACGATCAGCTGGTTCGAGATCTCGGGTAGATTTAGTCCATGGTTCACCTTACACTATCTTCATAGCTTTGCTGTTCGGGAATCTTGACACTTGGTATGATAGCACAGCATCCGCATCTACCCGTTCGTACTACTTCAGGTTGGAGGCGTGCGTTTGCTTGTCATTTCCATTGGGGTACATTTGCTATCTTGTAAACTACTACAAGGTAACATTTCTGTAGCTTTGTCATATTTTGTATGCTTTCATCGAAGCACCGACCTTTGTTCAAAGATTTGATAAAACAAAGGAAAGCTCCTCGAGCTCCCCCACATAGCCTGTCACGCTAAAACAGTAGTCTAAGCCTTAGTGCAATTAGGTGCATCGATGCATGCACCCTGGGGGATATAGTTCGATATTAGATCACCGAATACGACACGTCGAGAAAGTCAATGACACCAACACCTTTCCAACTATGCGAAAATCAAGATCTGATTACGACGTCTGTGCCTAGAAAGCAAGGCCACAAATCTCGGAAGGTTGTATGCAGTGAGACATCGTTATTTTCACTATGCCATTCCTAGACGTTTGTGCTAGGTATTAGATTTACTGCTTAGCAGACAATGACAAGAAACTTCAAGCTGTAGCAATAGTAGGTATCAAATTGCCCTCAGCACCTTTTGTAAAGACAACAATATGGCTCCATTTGACAAGACGAAGTCATATGCTTCACAGGAAGAAACATTTGTGGGTTTTCTGACTATATTTGAGTACTTTTCACTAATAACTTTCCCCGTAGTTCGATGACGGTAGGGAAGAAGAACTTGTCGAGTTTGTGCGAAATCATCACGATCGATCTAAGATTCAAGGTTCGCCGGCGAACGTTCTGAGAGCTATCGATGAGTATGGACGAACGAAGAGATATCTCATGAATGTAGGAGAGGACAAAGGAGCTATTGTCACCAAGATAATCAGTGAAAGAAAGCCTCATATAATGGTTGAGCTCGGAGGGTATTGTGGATATTCTACAATACTGTTTGGGTCAGCAGTACGGGCTGCAGGTGGAGCGAAGTATTATTCGTTGGAGAGAAGTCCGAAGTTCGCGAAAGTTATCACTGCTCTCGTGGAATTTGCTGGTCTCGAAGAATTTGTTGAAGTGATCGTCGGTCCTAGTAACGAGGGAATTCAAACACTACATTCTCGCGGGTTGAAGACCATTGATATGATGTTCCTAGATCACTATAAGCCAGCATACACGACTGACCTAAAGTTATGTGAACAACTGGGCCTGATCAAAAAAGGAACAGTTCTTGCTGCCGACAATGTTATCAGTCCAGGAAATCCTCCATATCTTGAATATGTGCGAAGCAATGTCGAGGACAAACTTCAAAAGCTTAAGCACGAGGGACAGCTGGATACTGATGGGTTTGCGAAACGTTCTGCCACTCAGTATGGTGGTATTGAAGCTCTAGACACCGGAATCAAAGGCAATCCCAAAATCATATACGACAGCCAATTGATCAACAGCTTCGAGCCTACTGGAGAACCAGTAAGTTGCCCAACTTTATTCGATTGAATTTTCTAACAATATTCTCGTAGGATGGAGTGGAAATAACTCGGTGTATGGGGGAAGTTGGAGGTAGCCAGTCGTAGATTTGAACGTTGGTCTGGGATCTGTATCTTTTGACCATTTGATCAGGTCTTCATCTGCAATCGATCGAGGCGGGAAAGCTTCCTGTGGATCCTCTAATTTCCGCCATTGCGGAGTATATATGCGAGTGGGGCGCGAGATACCAGTGTGCTAAAACGCGGCTCTTGTTGCTTCTCGCCACTCTCTCGCCACTCAGTGACCTTGCGACAATGAGTAAGAGGATATGATCTCCAGGTGTCGCTTTATGATACAGATTACCTAGGTACTTGAATATTGATACCATTTAACTTTGACATGGACTGCAATAAATCGAAAGCTGTGCTGCGGAGTGTATCTCATAGATGGATCAAATTATTAAGACGTGTGGTTGAGGTAGAATTAAGGTACAGAGATCCATCTAGTTCAATAATAGTCGCCTTAGGTTACAAGCAAAGACCTAGTGACTAATTTGCTTCATGCCTTAAATAAATGGTGGCCTTGAGATCCAATTGAGAATCTAAGAGGCAAGGATCACGTGTAAATTGAAGATTGCCTAGGTAGGAGGTACTAATGAAGGCCGGAGCAGAGGTTATGCCCTCCGAAGAAGTGGCAAAAGACAAATCTCAATAAAGCAAGCATAAGGTAATGCGCTAGCCCTAGATACTTGTGGAAACAGAGTGAGGGAGCAACTTGTATTTTTATATATATGGTTGGTTCAATGTGCCACATGGAGCCTTACCTGGAGCGGGTTACATATATAACCTTATAATGAGTCTCGATAGTTTCTCACCGCTTTGATGCCTTACACCCCCACTGGATAACCTCTAATATATCTTTGATTTTCGACCGCTCTCCCATCAACAATAACTCAAAAACCGCCCACTTGGCGCAGTGGTACCGCGTAGCACTCGTATCTTGAATACGGTCATGCTAAGATCATTGGTTCGATTCCAGTAGTGGGCAATCATTAGTTTTTGGCATTTTGATCATAAATGGTGAGCATTTTTCTCTCTCAGATCCAAGGTTCAATATCCTGATCAAACATTTTATTTTGCTTTTTCGTCTTACCTTTCACGTACTAGGTATGTTTTATGATCTTTTTCATCTCTCCATTACTGTGAACCAACCCCTCGATGTACTCAAGGGTCCCGTCTCGCACATGTGGGACTAATAAGACTCAAGACATGCCTGAGCTCCATTCTTTCTGGCGGACGATCATGTGATATTTAATTCCACCTTGCACATACATCATGTACATGTACAGTGTATGTACAGTGTAAGAACAGGTGGTCCTTCCGCGATTCAGTTCAACAAACGTGTAATCTTTTGTTTGGTGTATTTTCAGACCTTCTGTATCGATCGTTCTTCTTCGAGGAGGAGGTTTCGCAGTCATGACATTGGCTCTGGATTTGAAATCCGTGCTTCATGGTGATTGGTTGCACCAGAGACATAACATGTCCTCATCAATTCATACTGCAGTTAAACAAGTGTAAGATCCTGCCAACAAGTAATTAGGCTGGTGAAAACAGCTGATATTCATTAACTAAATTACGCACTACTACCTCGTAGGTGTAGTTCGTTTCTTAAGAATCTTTCTAAACCTTGTCCATAACGGACAAAGCGCTCCGGCCCGGAAGAATTGACTGCGCGGCGAAGAGACAATTGTCTCCCGCATGCCGATTCCGATGTGGTCGGTTCCCTGATTTGACTCTAGAATAATTTAGTTAGAAGTCAAACCATCAACCATAAGGTAGGGCTTAGGAACGACCCAACGCCCTTTGATGATGGGCGTAAGGTCTCTTCAATCACAAAAGCTTTCTCTACACAGTCCTAGCTTTGACCATGAAAGTAGAAATATTTCTGTTCTCTCAATACTTGGCTCCCCGAATAAGGGATCGATCTACCTTGCTAGCGCAAAGGGAATTTTCCAAATTCGTCTCTATGCAGAATAGCCTAAGTATTCACAGTCCTCAATTCCTTTCCTATCAAGTCCAACATTCTTTTGCGTGGCTTCTTACTTGAATTCCCGAGACTCCGAATTTCATGGGCCACTGCCTAACCTCGTCGTGGGTATCTTATTCTGCTGCAACTCGGAGAGTTAGTTTACTTTAGCTCCATACCATACATACCCCATGCCTCTGACTTCCAATCCCGATGACATAGTTGTTCATCTGGCATTAACTTTCCATTCTCTTGTGCTCGGATTGTACCGTGGGGGAATTCTATGTTATAACAATTATCATTTGATTGTTTGATTCTACATTAAATATTCCAAAGTCCTATTCTATATTGCAGTTCCGTAGTTCTTCTTGTTTTCGAATTTTGAATGCACTGTATATTTTCAAGCATGGGATACTGTTGTCTCATTGTTGAACTTGGATTGAGAAATCGAAATATCCCTTACAAAGATGATTTGCTTTTTCTGTCAACCAGAGAAGGATAGCTGGAGATTTTCGCTTGATACCAATGTCAATGCTATGTTAGATCGCATCTCGGCTGTGTTGATGAAGTATACACTACATTACAATGAAGCGGCAACCGCATTGTTCCTTTTCCTGCTTGAGGTATATTGCTACATGAAAGTTGACCAGAATTCCAGGCTACCTTTCAATGGCGAAGTTTTTATAGATGAGAAGCTAGACCATTATTTTCGTCAGTCCGCTCTGGGCCAGGTCATTACTACCTTGTCAATCCTCTGAGGGCCATTATTACTTGGCCAATTCTCTAAAGGTTATAATTGCTCCGCCAACCTCATTAGAGCTTTTCAACCTATTTTCCAAAAAAAAAAAAATATATTAGAACAATTGTATGTATCACTTCGCTAGCTCTTTTGAGGCTCTCCGCGGACTACTAGCAATTATCTTCAAAAAGACTCATCTATATATGTATCGCTTCGCTAACCATCCGGGCCGACTGCCATAAAGGTAGATTACCTATCTTCAAAAGTAAAGGCAAATTCTTATACCATTCTCATAGGAGCGATGATAGTGTGAAGCGCATCTAATTGCGAGGTTGCTATTTCAATCTCATCTAATTCGTCTTCATCCATATCAAATGCTGTGCCTGTTACATAACCCTCATCTTCAGCGATACCCAAGGATTGAGGATTTGGATTATCGGATAATAGCCGAGGATCAATATTGGCATGCCAGGCTAGATCATTATGATTCGCTGGTGGAGGAAGGGCATCTGAAACTGGTACACTTTTCAAGACATCCTTTCGAGGGAGCGCCTTTGTATTAGTAGATAGGTCCTTGAGCACAATCGCAGATGTTTTGGCGGCAGCAGTAGTGGCAGTTTTCGTTTCTTCCCATGTATTCTTCAAGCGTGCATCTCTGATGGCTTTCCTAGCCTTGCATATAGCATTGAAAGATGATGGATTAGGATCAGTTGATTGATTATCCTTTTGCCATGTTTGAACTTCTTCGAGAGATATAGGTGCACGATAGATATCAAACACTGGGTCACTTGTGATCTTAGGTGCTCCCCGTGGAGTTGGCATCGCCTTAATACGTTCATTGTACACAAGTGCTGACATCTCACCAGCATAATGTCTTGATGTCCCATGGGCCAAGGTTGCTTCCGAGTGATTCAAAACTGCTGCTACTGCTGGTGTAGTCAACCCGACATCGTCAAAGGCTGTACCAGGGAGATGAGATACATCCCTTGCAGCGCCTGATCTCAGAGAATGACCAGTCAGATTTCCAACAACCCCAGACATGATTCCCACAAGCTTAACAGTTTGGGATAGTTGTGATCTCGACGCGGTAACATTTAAGAGCATTCTAGAATGTGCTAAAGAAACCATTACTGGATAGTCGGGATAAACCCATTGAATTGTACATATTCCCGACGAAACTGCGTGGTCTAAAACATCTTGTAGACTCTTGGCTCCCACCGGTTGTACCAATCCATGGCGTAAACAATGTGAAATCAACAAAGCTAACGGGCATACGTGATTAACTTCGTCATTATCGAGAGGAGCAAGATATATCATGTCATTCTCTCGTGGTGTATCCCTTTTAAATTTGGTGAACCTCAGTGTAAACTTTACCTCCAAATCTTCCCATTGAACAGGTCCCAAGGTAGCTGATGGGATGGTGATTTCGATATCTCGATATCGAATATACTCCATAGCATAAGATAAACTTGACCTCGCACGATGTACTAGAGGAAAGAACTAAAATCCAATAGATGAGAAGATCGTAAGACTACCTGGGTAGGTAGGTGAGTAAGGTCACCAAAGGATTTAAGATCGTATTGGAAGAAGAGAAAGTGTCGGGATATCGATCATGTGATCTAAAGAGGGCACTGTATTGCACTAGCGTATGCACTAGCGCTAGCACTTCTACTATATTAATTACTAGCTTCCCATAGATAATAATGATCAAGAACGAATACAACCATAATAGACTAAAGTACTTTACACTTATCAACCAAGTTGATACCAACAGAAAGAGAAAACAAGGAATTAGAATGTAGATATCTGTGGCTATGTTGTCTAAATATCCCTTGCTCAAATATCACTGATTTATGACATATCATGAATCAATTAAGTTGTACACGAGGTAAAACTTATAATATCTGGTTTATTTGAATTTGATTATTTTATACATTTAATATTTCAAGTTTTGGATGTTTTGATACTTTCAATAGTCCGCTTTGGATATGACAATTAGATATTATTAGTGTTCAAAACCAGCTCAAATATTCGAGATAGATAGATTGATTGATTGATTGATTGATTGATTGATTGATTGATTTTATTAACATCCTTTTTCAGTCCATAACTATTTAGAACAGCTAGACTATAAAGGCCTAGCAAATATTATTGGATATCTATAATAGATATATTCAATTTGGAGGAGTAAAAACGAATACTGAAGAACTAAGCCCGATCTCTATTCGGAATAGGGATGCGAAGACTCAACACCTATACGCGGTGCATTCTACAAACCTTCAGCTCTCTCTTGAGAGTCTGCAGAGCTAAGATTGAATCGCAGATGGAATTGGAAAAATTGAAAGGAAAGAGGTTTAGAGATATAGCGAAGGATTATATTATAATTTTATGATAGCAATACCTATAAAGAGTTGAATACCAGTTTTAGATATGGATATAAAGGTTATAGAAGCCTTGGTTAGATTCAACATCTACTATTGATTACTATTTCAAATATAGAAATATAATACACAATAGATCTCTTCTTTTAGAAGAGTCTTTTTAATATAAAGCTTGCTGTGACGATTGCATCATTTAGAATACTAAGGTGAAGAGCTAGAAGAGCTCTTCGGAAGGAAGTGGTAATATACAGGATTGTGGATCACGTGAGGACCTAGCCGATCCATTAATATGACAGGATCGTCACACTACCCCCCCCTTCTGAAAAGCTTGCCCTCGAGTGTATTAATAGTATTCTAAATACGGTTCTCCAATCCAACTATATTATAATCTATATTCTCTACTATCACTAATATCTGGTCCATAGTTCCAATACTAATTCCAATATTGCCTATAATATAATTCGTAGCATCATCGATCGCTTTGCGGAAGTACACATTTTGCAATTTTATTGCTTTTACAAGAAAGGCTTCGAAATCAATAGAAAAAGGTTTCGAGAATTATTGAAAAATAAAATGAGCGAAAGAGAGGAGATTCGCTTGAAATACATCTCTTGTTGGTGGTGCCGATGGAGCGGCGGAAGCGTTAGTGGAACGCGGATTGGCCTGGCAGATCAATTGAATAAGCTGTTTTATTACAGCATCGATTGTGCAAGCATATTGATACTTCGAATCGATCAGTTTCTGTAATTTGTGTACTAGATTTAGGATCTTCGGATTCATTATCGATAGAACAAGGAGACTCTAAATAATGTGATAGTGAGGTATCAGCTCATCGGTAAATAAGATCCGCAGGAGTGGAGCTAGGGAGAGGTCTTAATCGGAGGCCGTACAAATGGTTGTATCAGGGGAGCGGGCGTGGAAGGCAATAGGCATTCGGCGAGCGGGCTAGCGATAGGAAGCTTCGCAGAAGCGATCAAGAGCTTAAAAAATTTATATGACCTTAGTATAATGTGACGATTGCATCATTTAGAATACTAAGGTGAAGAGCTAGAAGAGCTCTTCGGAAGGAAGTGGTAATATACAGGATTGTGGATCACGTGAGGACCTAGCCGATCCACTAATATGACAGGATCGTCACACTTGCCACCACTCTACTCGTACTACAATCCTTTTTTATACCCTTTAGCTTTCAGCTACTCGAATATTACAACAATACAATACAGAGAATGCTATCGCCTTCAAATTAATACCATACTCTGGGCATCAATACAATATAACGTTTTTCTTTTAATTTTCGAATTTTCGAATTTTCCGAATTGATTTGTGTGTAGGCAATAAGGCTTAGGATTCAGCCCTACCCCATTATTTTCAATAGTTTCGACTATACACATCTAATAAGAACTGAAGGATATCAAGTTTATAAAAATATACAAAAGACTAGTTTAAAAGAGATAAAGACAGAAAAGAGTAATGCCTTTTTCTGCTATCTCACTAGCAAGAGGACCCTTTACTATATTAGAGGCAATTCGGGAGGGGATAACTCTTATCTTTTATAGAAAAAGAGGGATAGCAAATTGGATTTAGGATTTTAAAAAGAGAAATTGGATATTGGGATGCTTTAATTGGATTAGGGATAGAGGAAGAGTGAGGAAGGAAGTGTCTTAGAGGATAAAGACTATTTAATTTCTATTTGCATTCCGAATAGAAATCGGGCATAGTATCTCAGTATTTGTTTTTATTCCCCCAAATTGAATATATCTATTATAGATATCCACTAGCAATTATTAGATTCTTAAAGCCTAGCTGTTCTAAATAGTCTTGGACTGAGAAAAGGACATTAATTAAATCAATCAATCAATCAATCTATTCGGAATAGATTGATTGATTGATTGATTGATCTCCTTCACAAGAGTCAAATGGGAGGACGCCAAAAGAAATCAGCAATTGATGCTGCACTTTTACTGACTACAGAAATCGAAAGAAATAAGTAAGCCAGTAAAAAGACCTCAATATTATTTATGAATATAAAGGGAGTATTCGATTATGTTTCGAGAAATCGACTATTAGATATTTATAAGAAGCTAAAACTGTCTATAAATCTGATAGCCTGGATAGCTTCATTTCTTTAACAAAAACAATTGAAACTATCTTTTAATAATCAAATCAAATCTTTCAAACCAATTTCGACTAGAATACTATAAGGCAGCCCGATTTCTCCAATTCTTTTTTTATATATATCAGGAAGCTCTTTTTATTCAATTCAATCAAGTTTCTTTTTTATATAAATGATATTGCTTTAATTATATATTCATTTATATGGAAAAAGAATATCAAAACTTTAGAGAGAATTACAAAACAAATTTATGAATTCAGTTCTAGAAATGCAATCCAATTCGATTTAGCAAAAATAAAGCTAATGCACTTTTCATTATCCAAATTGATAAAAAAATATCCAATTATATTATTCAATTCGGAAATAATTGTATCTTAATCTTTTATTAGATAGCTGGGAATATAATTCGACTTGAACCTCAAATTCAATCAATATATTAATATTCGAATTATACAAGCAAAAGATATTTTCTATCGAATAGCTCGATTAACTAATATCGAAAAGGGTCTTAATCCTAAAGCCCTTAGATAATTATATATAGTATATATAATTAGTATAGCTGATTACGGATCAGTGATTTGATGAAAAGATCAAACTCATTTCAAGAATATAATGCAATTGCTTCAAAACCTAGCTCTTCGAAAGATATTAGAAGTTTTCAAAACAGTCTTAATCCTTCCAATAGAAATAGAAGCAAGCCTAAAGTCCCCAAAAATTCGATTAAATTCAAATATTAGATAATACACATTTCGTCTAGCTAAACTCTTACCAAACTATCCAATCAATATCGAAAAAGAAATATCAGCTCAATATCAAATCGATTTAAAAGTAATCCCTACTTTTCAAAGAAAACAATATAAATCAATCCAATTTGATAAAATTAGAGGATTAATAAATCAGAATCTCAATCCTATTTTATTTGAAAAGATTATTCATTTCAACTTCCCCTTATAGAAAAAGGAAATTCCCTTTAGAATTAATATTAGCAATTTATCAAAAGAAGATATTGCTATTTTTTATAATATCGTTTTCAATTATAGAGATAAGGTGTCACGGTGTGAGATCACGTGACATATTGGTCCCCTCAGAGGGGACCGAATTGAGCGCTCACGCCAGAGCGCAAGTGAGCTAGGGCCTGATCGGGCTAGCTCGCTTAGCAAAATCCTGTATATCTTTAACTTGGAAGATCCTGTATCATAGCTCTTTGAGCTACGTTTTAATCCTCAATCTGAACCTATCACCCGAATCAGTATAACCTTGCCAGATTAGGGCAAAGTTATTAGAACCCTATCCTGCCCGCCTGCCCTGTAATACTATATAGTTCCTATCTATTAAAATATTGCTTTCGCGATGACTGCTCCGCACCCGCCTGGCCAACCTGGGAACTCCTCAGAATTTGGCGTTTCCGTATCGGAGGACCCCCAGGTTTGGTACTAATACCTTTAATCGGCATTTGTGTATTATACTGAGCTGGAGGAGACTAATAGATCATTCGAATGCGAAATTTCCGAATCCCTAGTCCACGAATGTATTCAAGCTGCTCTGCACAAGCAGGTTACTATTCAAAACACCCATCTACTCGATTGCCTTGTTGAATCCATGTCTACTATACCTACTCGTTTGGAAACTGTATCCTCTGAAATTCCTGCTAACTCTATCCCTGAATTTACTATACCTGCTCTAATCACTCGATTGAATAAGTGCATCCCCAATCCAAAAGAGTTTGATAGTACCTACTTCGACCTGTGCAGATTTATTTAATAGATATATAGAAAATTAAATGCGAATAATGATAGATTCTCAACGATTTCTGTTTGTTTGACTTATACTGCTGGAAAACTTACTGAAAAGGTATACAAGCTTATACTATCTAAAATCTTTTATAGGATTCCTCAGTTCACTAATTATACCACACTTTTCGAATATCTCGAAACCATTTTTGGGGATTCTGATCGAATACA